CTGATTTTCAATTTGATTATTTATTCAGTTTATAGCCAAGATCTTACAGGAAGGTAGTTCTAAATATTTTAGACCATGAAATTCGGGTGAGCTATATGGATATTTATATTTTTTATATAGATGAAAACATTGATAAAGATTGTTATATTATGGAAATTTCAAGATAATTCCTGTCGTCGTTGAAGATGAATGCATGCCTTTTATCTTCTTTTGAGAAAGAGAAGACTCATTGAAATTTTGACCGTCCGTCCACAAATTCTCGTAAACACTCTAGAAGACACAATTCTTGACCGATTTTGAGGAAACTTGGTATGAACCCTATTGAAAATCAAAACAATCAAAAACTAGAACCACTCGTGGTACTGAGTGGGACTTTGCTCTTGTGCCAATTTGCTAGAGAATCTGAAAAAATCAACGTTCTTAGCCAATTAGGTCACGTGCTAGAGCAGTTAAAAATTTTGAAAATTTTGCTTTTTTGGAAGGTTGTTAAAGCGGAAGTTGAAGCCAGACATAAAATATGAAAGTATGATTAGATTTCCAAGGTCAATGACCTTTGACCATGTTAATGGGGAAGGTCATTTAAGGTCAACGTCACTAGATATGAGTCATCAAACTTTGAAAATACAAACATTATAAAACCGGAAGTTGACGATGAACATCAAGTATGAAGGAATAAATCTTCAGCCAAGGTCAATGCACTTCGATCCTACAAAGGTCAAGGTCATCAATGGTAAAGGTCAAAAGTTGAAAATATGCAAAATTTAAACCCTGTAATTTTTTTTGAACTACGAAGCGGAAACAACTGACCTTTTCACACAAAATGGCCAAAGGGGTGAGGTAATTGTGTGCAAGGTCCTGTTTTGAACAAATGTATTTTATACAAGTTATACCCCTGATAAAAATGTAAATAATAAGTAATTTAAGCCTAATGTGCCACGCCCACCTCAACTTTTTTGTCATATGTCAATCTATATTTAATATGTCTCATTGTGTTCCAAATTCCAAGCTTTTACAGAAAATAGGTCATAAGAAATACATAGAACTAGCTCAAAGAAGCTAACATATTGTAAAAAAACATCGAAATTTCAAAAATTCAGAAATTTCAATTTTGCATTATATATCACTGGAAAGAGCACGACGAGCACATTCAGAATCCACAAAAATTTACCCTTAAAGTTAATTAGGTCACAAGCTAGAGCAGTCCAAATTTGCGAATTTGGATGTTTTTGGACAGCTATAAAAGCGGAAGTAGACGTCAGAGGTCAATATGAAAGAATAAACTATTAGACAAGGTCAATGACCTTTGACCCAATAAAGGTCAAGGTCATCAAAGGTCAAGGTCAAAAATTGAAAATTGTCAATTTCCAAAACCTGTTCCTTTTTTTGAATTATGAAGCTGAACTAACTGACCTTCTAAGACAAAGTGGCTCAAAGGATGACGTAATTGTGAGCATTTTGAACAAATGTATTCTTTGCGAGTTATGTCTTTGGCCAAAAATGTCAATAATGAATAATTTAACCCGGATGTGCCACGCCCACCTCAATTTTTTTTGCATAGGTTAATTGTTATTTAAATTGTGATGCTATGTTCAAAATGTCAAGCTTCTACATCATGCAGGTCAAAAGGTATAGGTCAACAAAAGTCAAAAAAGGAAATCAAAATTGAAAATATGGAAATTTTAAAACCCGTTCCTTTTTTGGAACTATAAAGCTGAAATAACTGAGTTGTTAACACAAACTAGCCAAAAGGATGAGGTAATTGTGTGCAAAGTCCCTTTTTGAACAAATGTATCCTATGCGAGATATGCCCCTTCCTCTAAATGTAAACAATTAGCAATTCAACCCGGATGTGCCACGCCCACCTCAACTTTTTTGTCATAAGTAAATTCATATTCAACATGTCTAGTTGTGTTCCAAGGTTCTACATCAAGTAGATCATAAGATATACATACACTAAGCTCAAAGAGACATAAATATGGTAAAAAACCACTCGAATTTGAAAAAATCAAGAAATTCAATTTTGCTTTAAAAGTACGATTGTTATATATCATTGGAAAGAGCATGGGAAGCACATTAAGAATCCGAAAAAAATGACCCTTTAGGTTATATGCTAGAGCAGTCCAAAGTTGCGAATTTGGCTGTTTTCGGAACGCTATAAAACCGGAAGTACAGGTCGGAGGTCAAATGTCAAAGTATCAACTGATAGTCAAGGTCAATGACCTTTAACCCTATAAAGGTCAAGGTCATCAAAGGTCAAGGTCACCAGATAGAACTTGCAAAAACTTCAACCGGAAGTTGCAAAAAATGAAAAGCGAAATTCAAAAATCGGCTTAGTTTTTGTTGGCAATCGATTGTAGATTACATACACATCAAAATTATACATGCCCATTTCTTCATAGAGGCCCCATTTTGAGTTTTACAAAAGTGTGTTTTTTCAATATGGCGACCAAAGTATCACTTCCGGTCTGGATTTTTTTTTCTTCGTTTTTTTATAATAGCATTTACTTACGAACAGCATAAATTTCGTTGACCTATTTCAATTACACCGGAAGTTATTCGACCGGAAGTGGATTGTACTTTCAATTGATTCCCCGTTTAAAACCGGAAGTAAAGTTAAATATTTGACAACTACATATTATTTACTTTAGTGATACCCCTTTGCATATTAAATTTCAGATCAATCGATGCAAAAACAAAAAAGTTGCAAAAAAATTGAAAAATTTGATCGAAAAAAGTGAGCTACAAATTTTCGAATTTCGTAATTTTTCAAGTGCTATCAGTTCAGAAATAACAGATAGATTGTAAAAATGAAAATCCGAAGAAAATCGATGCAAAAATGCGCCTTCTGGAGCCGATTTTCGACTTTTTGCACATGTGGACCTGTGGCACTTCCGTTTTTGTAGAAATGTTCCAAAATACACTCAATTACGATGTTGCCACTACAGAAGGTCTACACATGTAATAATATTGATGCAGCTGCTGCAGCTTTTGCTTGAGAAGGTGTGGAAAAATCGAAAAAAAAAAAAAAAAAAAAAAAGTATTGACATTTCGATAACAAACTGAAAAGTTTGTAGGTATGAGTTTTTGCCCTTGTTCTCGAAATATGTTAAAGTTTAGCTTGTTAACACTCTAGAAGGTTTAATTATTGACAGCTTTTGATGAAACATGGTGTAAATGCACCAAAGGATGAGCAAATCGAAAATCAGCAAGATTCAATTCTTCAGATTTTCAATAGGGTTCATCCTTGAGTGATTACAAACACTCACACTAAGTTTCGTCAAAATCCATCAAGAATTGTGGCTTCTACTAAATATTTTTCAATTCTTCTGATTTTCAATAAGGTTCATCTTTGGTTGATTACAAACAATCATACCAAGTTTTGTCAAAATAGCTTGCCAGGCAAGGTAATATACACCCACTGGCATCTTTGATTTTGAATAAAAATATTCAACCTTCAGTCATTCACTTCTTTTGACCTCTTTGGGGCAATACTGAATAATATTGAGTATTGCCCATCTTCCTGAAAAAGTGTTAAATTTTAAGCTCCTGAAAACTCTAGAAGGCAAATATTCAACCTTCAGCACGGTACTGAATAATAAAACCAAGTTTTGTCAGAATTTGGCAAGAATCACGCCTTTTAGTGTTTGAGAGCAAAAGTTTGAAAGCGTTTTCAAGAATGAGGTCAATAACTTCTGTGAAACATTATTCGATTTGTTTGATTTTCAATAGGGTTCATCCATGGGTGTTAATAAACAATTTCAACAAGTTTCGTCAAAGTCTGTCAAGAATTGTGCCTTCTAGAGTGTTTACGTGCTAAAAATTGAATGTGTTTTCAGGAACAAGGGCAATAACTCATAGTGAATATTTTTCGATTCTTCTGATTTTCAATAAGGTTTATCCTTGGGTGGTTATGAACACTCACACAAAGTTTTTCAAAATCCTTCAAGAATTGTGGCTTCTAGAGGGTTTATGAGCTAAAAATTGAACATGTTTTTAAGAACAAGGCCAATAACTCATACTTAACATTTTTCGATTCTTCTGATTTTCAATAGGTTTATGAACACTCAAACCAATTTTTGTCAAAATCTGTCAGGAATTGTGTCTTGTAGAGTGTTTTCAAGAACAAGAGCAATAAACCGTATTAAATATTTTTCGATTTTCTTGATTTTCAATAGTGTTCATTCTTGGGAGATAAAAAACACTCAAACCAAGTTTCATCGAAATCCCTCAAGAATTGTGCCTAGAAATTGAACCAGATTTCAAGAACATGGGCAATAACTCATACTAAATATTTTTTTGATTTTTCTGATTTGCAATAGGGTTTATCCTTGGGTGATAACAAACACTCATGCCAAGTTTTGTCAAAATCTGTCAAGAATTGTGCCTTCTAGAGTGTTTATGAGCTAAAATTAACAAGGGCAATAATTCATGCTAAATATTTTTCGATTTCGCTGATTTTCAATAGGGTTTATCCTTGGGTGATTGCGAACACACATACTAAGTTTCGTTAAAATCCGTCAAGAATTGTGCCCTGTAGAGTGTTTACGAGCAATTGTGGACGGACGGACGGACGGACCGACGGACCGACGGACGTGGATGACGACAATATACGCCCCCCATTTCATGTGGGCGAATAAAAATCACACAGCACTAACTAGTCTTGCCATCTTCAGCAAGTTGATCTTCTAAAATTGCATCATTTATGGTTACCATAATGATACCACATGATCCGTCAACGCGTTTGTATTGGTTAGCTACTTTTTCTAGCTCAGCTGGCAGTTTAATCGCCCGAACACGGTGAATTTCTGGCCTCAAACAAGATAGATCTTTTCCTCACAGCCTCTCGATGCAAAAATCTCACTAAAAATTCAGCGAACAAAAGGGGAAACAGCTCAGCTCCCAATCTCTCGAGGCAGGCAGCTTAGTTAGTTCCTCTCGTCTGCGGCAGGCTTTAGCCATGTGCTACAAGGTATTTTGGGTTTTTCTATTATTTAAATCAACTAAAACTGGACCGGTAAAAAATTGTAAGGTGTGTCTTCTATTTTACTGCACATTAAATGATTGTATAAAAAGAAAGAAGCACATCCTTTGTATCTAATACTTAATATCTGTTGAGAAAGATAATTACCTATAGTCCTCATTCCTTTAGCAACATCGCCAGACATTTCGTTGCTTATAGCCTTCTCGATATCTTTTTTAGAAATCTTGCTATAGGCATCAAATACAGCACGTAGTTGAGGGTAACTCTGAGAAGCTAAGACCATATTGAAGGTATTTTCATCAGTACCCCACCTCTTCTCACCAGCTTGATACAATCTCTACAATGTAAAATATAGTTTGCCAGGCAAGATTATATATGCCCACTGGCAGCTTTGATAAAAATATTTAGCAGTACAGTAACAACTACCAGTATGAAATATTCAACCTTCAGACATACACTTCTTCTGAATTTTTTGAGGCAATACTGAATAATATTACCAAGTTTCATCAAAATCTGTAAAGAATTGGGCCTACTATAGTGTTTACAGGCTAAAACTTCAACATTTTTAAGAACAAGGGCAATAACCGACACTAAATGTTTTTCTATTTTTCTTATTTCAATAAGGTTCATTCTTGTGTGATAACATACACTCACACCAAGTTTCCTGAAATTATACAAATTGAACGCATTTTCAAGAACAAGGCTAATAATTCACACTAATATTTTTTCGATTTTTCTGATTTTCAAAAGGGTTTATTCTTGAGTGATAACAAACAATCATGCCAAGTTTCGTCAAAATCCGTCAAGAATTGTGCCTTGTAGATTGTTTACGAGCTAAAAATTGAACATGTTTTCAAGAACAAGAGCAATAAACCATATTAAATATTTTTCGATTTTCTGGATTTTCATTAGAGTTCATTCTTGAGTGATTACAAACACTCACACCAAGTTTCATAAAAATTCGTCAAGAATTGCACCTTCTAGAGTGTTTACGAGCGTTTTAAGAACAAGAACAATAACTCATACTAAATATTTTGCGAGTTTTCTGATTTTCACCAAGTTTCGTCAAAATCCGTCAAGAATTGTGCCTTCTAGAGTGTTTACAAGATAAAAATTGAACGCGTTTTTAGAACAAGGGCAATAACTCATACTAAATATTTTTCGATTTTTCTGATTTTCAATAGGGTTTATCCTTGGTTGATAACAAACACTCCTGTCAAGTTTTGCCAAAATCCCCCAAGAATTGTGCCTTCTAGAGTGTTTACGAGCTAAAAATTGAACGCGTTTTAAACAACAAGGGCAATAACTCAATAGGGTTTATCCTTGGGTGATTAGGAACACTCATGCCAAGTTTCGTTAAAATCCATCAAGAATTGACCCTTCTAGAGTGTTTACGAGCTAAAAATTGAGCGCATTTTCAAGAACAAGGGCAATAACTCATACTAAATATTTTTCGATTCTTCTGATTTTCAATAGGGTCCATCCTTGTGTGATCACGACCACACTCATACCAAGTTTTGTCAAAATCCGTCAAGAATTGTTTCTTGTAGAGTGTTTACGAGCAATTGTGGACGGACAGACGGACGGACATGGGTGACGGCAATATACCCCCATTTCATGTGGGCGTATAAAAGGGGAATCACTCATATCAAATATATTCTATAGAACTCATCCTTGGATGATTATGAACAAATTCAGTAAGTTGCATCGAAATTCACAAGAATTCCTAGCAAATGAGACAAAGAAATTCTTCATTTGTCAGACTAAAATCCAGAGATCCATTATAGCTTGGATGCATTTTAACTCCCAAAAAACAATTAAACTTCTTACCTGAGCATCAGACATAGCTTTATTTTCATCAACTTGTTGATTTTCAAGTCTTCCTCCCTAATGAAAAAAAAAGAAAGCTTGCCAGGTAAGGTAACATATGCTCACTATAATAGGCTTTGATTTTAGTTACAATCACCAGCGAAAAACATAAACTTCATGAACAATATTACTATTTATGACAAAATCGGGCAAGAAGTGTGACTTTTAGAGCATATACAGGCTAGAAATTAAAAACACGTTTTCAAGGATAAGGGCAATAACTCACATCAAATAATTTTTGATTTCGTAAAAAGGGTTATTCTTTAGTGACTTGTAACAAAACAAACTATTTAACCGAGTTTCGTCAAAACTTTTCAAGAACTATGCCTTCTGGAGTGTTTACGAACTCAAAATTTAATGTGTTTTCAACAACACGGGCAATAATACTTATAACATATTTTATTGATTTTTAATAGGGTTCATCAATGGTGATAATCGTCGTACCCTAATTCTGGATTTTCTGTCAGTTTCGAGTCATTACCGAAAATCTTACTCAATTCTGTATTGTCCCATACAGGGATGTCTATTTAATTTTTTTGTCAGTCGGACATTTTTCAACGACCTGTGAAATTTGATCTCAATTTCAACTTGAGAGAAGGTCTACTATACCATGTTCTACAGCACCGGTATTGTCATGATGTTTGGCAAAAGAAAGGTAAACTGTGTCATTTAAAAAACAGTTTTACTCTATCTTTAATTATAATTACTCTGCCAGGCTATCAGAGAATGTTAAAAGTTTTGAAAAAATATTGGGTCACCTTGTCCTTTGAAACTGCTTTTCTCGGCAAATTGCCCAACATTTAAAATTATTATTTGAATTGATGATTTTCAAATGTAAGAACACCTAAATATTATGCAGAATATTTCTGTCATATTTTCACTGAATGACACATCCTAAACAATGCCCAATCAATTCCCGACAGCCTATTTGTGATAATAATATTCAATACAGTAGCTTAGCTCCTCCCACCAAGATAATTGTGGGACAATGCTACAGCAAAGTCCCAGTTTGTTATCGAAATGTCAATTCTTTTTTTTTTTCGTTTCGTCCACACCTTCCTGGGCTTAGACTACAGTAGTTGCAGCACCCATTCAACATTCACGAACTTTAGATATAGGCGACGATGTGCATAAATATATTTTGGATCATTTTTGCAAAAGTGCCACAGTTCAATGTACGCAAGAATAGAAAATCGGCTCTAGAAGTCGTATTTTTCGGTCGATTTTCTTTGGGTTTGCATTTTTGGAATCTACTGTTAAAATCTGAAAGAATAGCACTTTCAAAATTTCAAAATTCGAAAATTTGTCGTAGACATTTTTTTTGCCAAATTTTGCATTTTTTTCAATTTTTTTGCTTTTTGTCTGATTAATCTGAAAAAAATTGAGCAAATACAGTTTCAAAAAGTAAACAAAATTGTACAGTCAAATTTTCAACTTCACTTCCGGATCAAACAGGAAATTGATTTTCACTTCCGGTTGAATAACTTCCGGTGTCAAAAAAGTTTATGCTGATAGGTAGACAAAGTTATGACAAAAAAACGAAGAAAAAAAAATCCGGACCAGAGGTGAAACTTTGGCCGCCATTTTGATTTTTCTGAAATGATTCGATTTTTATTCAGACATAACGGCTTACCCGATTTAAATGATTTTGGTGTCAAATGAAAGAAGATAAAAAAAAACATGACATTAGGAAGCCGTTTTTCGATTCTCGATTTTGCTTTTTTGCAACTTCAGGTTGAATTTTTACAAAGTTTAAAGGGTCATATCTCGTGATCTTGACCTTTGATGACCTTGACCTTTATAAAGTCAAAGGTCATTGACCTTAGCTATTAGTTAATACTTTGACATTTGACATTGGACTGCTCTAGCATGTGACCTAATTAACCTAGAGGGTTAATTTTTTCAGATTCTTAATGTGCTTTTTATGCTCTTTCCATTGATATATAACAATCATTTTTTAAAGAAAAATTGAAATTTATGAATTTTTAAAAATGAGTTTTTTTTTTACAATATTTCTGTCTCTTTGAGCTTGGTGTGTATATATCTTATGACCTATTTGATGTAGAACATTGAAACTTGGAACACAACAAGACAATTTGAATATGAATTCACCTATGACAAAAAAGTTGAGGTGGGCGTGGCACATCCGGGTTAAATTACTCATTAGTGACATTTTTGGCAAGGGACATAACTCGCAATGTATAGATTTGTTCAAAATGGAACTTTGCATACAATTACTTCATCTGTTGAGCCACGTTGTCTTAGAAGTTCCATTGTTTCAGCTTTATAGTTCAAAAAAAGGAACAGGTTTTGAAAATTCCAAAGGTCATTCACATTGGCTATCTATTTATACTTTTATATTTGCTGTCCTATCTCAACTTCCGGTTTTATAGCCGTATATATTTCAAAATTTTGATGACTTGTATCTCGTAACCTTGACTTTTGTTGACCGTCTCCTTTTCAATGTCAAATGTCATTGACCTTGACTATCTTCTGATACTTTCAATTGTGAGGCCTGTCTACTTATGGTATAACAATCTTCCAAAGAATCAAAACTTCTCAACTTTAGACTGTTCTTGCACGTGATGTAATTATCGTAGAAGGTTGATTTTTTCAGAGTCTTTTGCATTTTGCTACATTTGCAAAGTCCCACTCTGTGCCACGTGTGGCTCTAGTATTATATTGAGTTCCATATAGAACTATACTTGATTGACAGCTGAATGTTTCAACTTCAAGGGAGGTAATTAAGAAGAAGAAATATATAAAATGAAAGTACAATATATAGGCCAAACACACTTAACAGAAGGTTATTGGATAGAAAATTCACATTTTTCTGAATTTAAGTTGGTTTTTTGCAGGAGATTAACTGTAAAAATTTAAAACTTTCTTGATTTTAGTCAGAAATTCAAAACATATTTCAATGTTTAATAGAATATAGGTCAGAATTATCTTGCTTAGATTAAGGGAGACAACCAATTTTCAATTTCTAAATGTAAATAAAGAAGTACAGTTAGTAGATAATTGAATTGATGATTAATTTAACACTTATAACAGGTAATTAAGGGATTATCAGATTATGGGGTTGGTAATCAAGTTATTGTAATAATTAATGGCTTTATACTTCATTAGACTAGAGTTGTCATTAAATTTTGCATTTGACCGACATTGAAAGCCATTTAATGGCTAACCTATACTTGATGTCCGATATAAGGATATTGACCGTTGGTCATTTTAGCAGCCCTGTCGGTCATGTCCAGCATGTAGAACCAAATCAACATCCCTGGTTCCATATTAATCAATTCTGTTTTGTTTACGTTACAAAGTCTCATAACGAGTGATTTGATTTCATAAGCTGAGACTGGCCCAAGCGAAAAATTTTAAATTTCAATGGTAATGTTTCCAAAATATATTGAACCTTTAGCGCAGTACTAAATAATAAACCAAGTTTTGTCAAAATCAACATGCCTTTTAGTGTTTAAGAGCTAAAATACGAAACCGTCAATAACTCCTATGAAACATTTTTAAATTTTTTTGATTTTTGATAGGGTACATCCTCGGGTGTTTACACAAACACCAAAGTTTCGTCAAAATCCATCAAGAATTGTGCATTCCAGAGAGTTTATGAGCAAAATATTGAACGCATTCTCAAAAACAGGGGCAGTAACTCCTACTAAATATTTTTTGATTTTCCTGATTTTCAAATAGGGTTCACACTTGAGTGATAACGAACACTTACAACAAGTTTCGTCAAAATCTGTCAAGAATTGTCCTTTCTGGAGTGTTTACGAGCTAAAATTTTGAAGGAGTTTTCAAGAACAAGGGCAATAACTCATACTCAATATTTTTCGATTTTTCTGATTTTCAATAGGGTTTATCCTTTAGTGATAACAAACACTCATGCCAATTTTCGTCAATATCCATCAAGAATTGTGCCTTCAAGAGTGGTTACGGGCAAAAAAATAACCCATACTAGGTTCAATAGGGTTCATCCTTGGGTGATTACGATCACTCACACCAAGTTTCGTCTAAATCCATCAAAAATTGTGTCTTGTAGAGTGTTTACGAGCAATTGTGGACGGAGTGACGGACATGGGTGTCGGCAATATACACCCTCCATTTCATGTGGGCGTATAAAAAGTTCTTTTAATACAATTTTGTATTTTTTCGAAACATTCACAATGAGAACAGGGGCTGAATCAATGAATTTAACCTTATTTACACATAGGGAAGATAAATGATAAATGAAGAAAGAATAACTTGCCAGGCAAGGTAATATATACCCACTGGCAGCCTTGATTTTGAGTAAAGATAGCTTGCCAGGCAAGGTAATATACGCCCAGTAGCAGCTTTGATTTTGAACATAAATATTTAGCAGTACAGTAACAATCACCAGTATGAAATATTCAACCTTCAATCATACACTTCTTTTGACCTCTTTAGCACAACACTGAATAATATTGAGTATGAGTTATTGCCCTAGTTCTTGAAAACGTGTTCAATCTTTAGCTTGTGAGAACTCTAGAAGGCAAATATTCAATCTTCAGGACTGAATAATAAAACCAAGTTTTGTCAAAATCCAGAAAGAATCATGCCTTTTAGTGTTTAAGAGCTAAATTTGAAAGCGGTTTCAAGAACAAGGGAAATAATTTATACTAAATTTTTTTCAATTCTTCTGATTTTCAATAGGGTTCATCCTTGGGTGATTACGAACATTCACACTAAATTTCATCAAAGTGATTACGTGCTAAAAATTGAACGCGTTTTCAATAGCAAGGGCAATAATTCATACTAAATATTTTTCGATTTTTTCTGATTTTCAATACGGTTTATCCTATACTCATGCCAAGTTTCGTCACAATCCGTCAAGAATTGTCCCTTCTAGAGTGTTTACAAGCTAAAAATTTTAACACGTTTTCAAGAACAAGAGCAATAACTCATACTTAATATTTTTCAATTTTTCCGATTTTCGATAGGGTTTATCCTTGGGTGATTACAAACACTCACACCAAGTTTCCTCAAAATCCATCAAGAATTGAGCTTGTAGAGTGTTTACAAGCTAAAATTGAACGTGTTTTCAAGAACAAGGGCAATAACTCATACTAAATATTTTTAAATTTTTCTGATTTTCGATAGGGTTTATCCTTGGGCGATAACGAACACTCATACCAAGTTTCATCAAAATCCGTCTTGAATTGCACCTTCTAGAGTGTTTACGAGCGTTTCAAGAACAAGGGCAATAACTCATAGTAAATATTTTTCGATTCGTCTGATTATCAATAGGGTTCATCCTTGGGTGATTGCAAACAACCATACCAAGTTTCATCGAAATCAGTCAAGAATTGTGCCTTGTAGAGTGTTTACGAGCAATTGTGGACGGACGGACCGACGGAATGAGGTGACGGCAATATACGCCCCCCATTTCATGTGGGCGTATAAAAAAATAAAGCAGTAAACAAAAGAGGCTGCATTTTTATCCTATCTTGATGAAACTTGGTATGCATGTATATATAGATCTCGATCAAGTTCGAATTTGATAATAATCTAATTAATTGACACAATTTCAAATTCAAATTCAATAATTCTGCTTGCATCCGTAAAATGTTCGGACTGACGTACTGACGGACTGACAGACGGACATGGGTGACGGCAATATACGCCCCCTATTTCATGTGGGCATATAAAAATGTCATATACTTACAGTAGTCATGGATACCAGCAATTTTTTAAAGTGACCAGAGGTTTCACTTATGATTTCTTCTTCCAATTTCCGTTTATACACTGAAATGTAGTAAACTCAAATGAAATACGACCATATACATAGCTTACCCATTATTGCTTTAGGGGAGAGACTGGTAAAAAATATATATTTTTCTTATTGAAATAACCTGGCAGACATGATGCTTCTTGCATAGATAATTGTTTTCGTGTATCAGTTTTTATGGCCCCCATTGCCATGGTCTAAGAACTTGGCTAGAATTTTCAAGCCACAATGCTACTGAACTGGATAGGACATACAAATTCTTTATTTTGCCCACCAATGAAGAGTTTTATGAAATGACATTTCCCAATTTCCTTTAAATGGAAAATGGCAAAAAAATAACTACTGTTGAAGTGGGAAAATTTATTTGTTCGGGCCTGGCAAGTTGAAATGACTGTAATATTTTACACTTGTACATTTATCAAAAAACAAAAACGTCACAAAAGCCAGCAGCAAATCTGAAAATGCTATAGCTCTTCTGGTTTGACCAACTATCTTACCTCAAGCTAGCTTAGAAAGTGAATGTACAAATTAAATATTATTGAAAAATTATGTTCTTTATGGATTTATGTGTTTTAATTTGTTCCTTCATTTTATCCGTTTCCAGTACGTTCTTTCATCATTAATTCAACCTGCCATTTGGTATGGTGATAGTGAAACAGGCTTCGTTTGCGGTTGGAATCAATTGTTTTCAGTGACTTCGTCTGACGCAAAAATCATCTCTTTTCGTCTATTTTCAGTGGCGGTATTTGGACCTTCGCTTCTTAAACGGTTGGCTAGATTTGTGGATGTCTTTCACCATGCTAATTGCAGTTTTTTCTAATATACAGCTCTTTTGACTTAGCCATCTTTATAATACAGCAAATTTTAAAATAAAATCCATTCCGAAGTGACACTTTGGTCGCCATTTTGATCTTCCTGAAAAGCGTCAAAATCTATTCAGAGATAACGGTTTATCTGATTTAGATGATTTTGGTGTCAAATGAAAGAACATAAAAAAACAAGAAGCCTCTAAAAGCCCGATTTTTGATTTTCGCTTTTGCTTTTTAGCAATTTCCAGTTGAAAATTGTGAAACTTTGAAGGTTTCATATTCCGTGACCTAGACCTTTGATGACCTTGACCTTTAATGGGTCAAAGGTCATTGTCCTTGGCTATCAGTTGATACTTTCACATTTGACCTCCGACTTGCACTTCCGGTTTTATATGACCTGATTAACATAGAGGGTTAATTTTTTTCGGATTCTTAACGTGCTTTTCATGCTCTCACAATCGTTTTGTGAAAAATTGAAATTCGTTATTTTTTTTCAAATTTTCGTGTTTTTTTAATATATGTTTCTCTTTGAGCTTGGTGTATGTATATCTTATGACATATTTGATGTAGAACCTAGAAATTTAGAACACATCTAGACATTTTTAATATGAATTCACCAGTGACAAAAAAGTTGAGGGCATGGCACATCCGGTTGAATTACTAATTGTTTACATATTGGGGCAGGGGCATAACGCGCATAGGATACATTTGTTCAAAAAGGGACTTTGCACTAAATTACCTCGTCCTTTTGGCCAGTTTGTGTAAACAGCTCAGTTGTTACAGCTTTACAGTGCCGAAAAAGGAACCGGTTTTAAAATTTCCTATTTTCAATTTTGACCTTTGTTGACCTGTATGATGTAGAAGCTTGAAATTTAGAAAACAAGATTACATCTAGAATATAAGTTAACATAATGCCAAAAAAGTGAGGTGGGCGTGGCACATTCGGGTTAAATTACTCATTATTGACATTTTTCGCCAGGGGCGTAACTTGCAAAGAATACATTTGCTCAAAATGAAACTTTGAATACAATTACCTCATTCTTTGAGCCACTTTATCTTAGAAGTTCAGTTGTTTCAGCTTCATAATTCTAAAAATGGAAGAGGTTTTGGAAACTCAATATTTTCAATTTTTGACCTTGACCTTTTATGACCTGGACCTTTATTGGGTCAAAGGTCATTGACCTTGGCTATCAGTTGATGCTTTCATATTTGACATCTGATGTCTACTTCCGGTTTTATAGCTGTCCAAAAACAGCCAAATTCGCAAATTTGGACTGCCCTAGCTCTAGCTCGTGACCTAGTTAACTATGAGGGTTAATTTTTGTGGATTCTGAATGTGCTCATCGTGCTCTTTCCAGTGATATATAACGCAAAATTGAAATTTCTGAATTTTTGAAATTTCGGTGTTTTTTTACAATACGTTCGCTTCTTTGAGCTGGGTGTACGTATATGACCTATTTGCTGTAAAAGCTTGGAATTCGGAAAACAAGTAGACATTTTAAATATGAACTAACTTATGACAAAAAAGTGGAGGTGGGCGTGGCACATTAGGGTTAAATTACTTATTATTTACATTTTTATCAGGGGTATAACTTGTATAGAATACATTTGTTCAAAACAGGAACTTGCACACAATAACCTCGCCCCTTTGGCCAGTTTGTGTGAAAAGATCAGTTGTTTCCTAGGTCAAAAAAAGCAATAGGGTTTAAATTTTACATATTTTCAACTATTGACCTTTACCTTTGATGACCATGACGTTTGTAGCATCGAAGGTCATTGACCTTGGCCAAAGATTAATACCTTCATATTTGATGTTCATCGTCAACTTCCGATTTTATAATGTTTGTATTTTCAAAATATTGATATTGATTATTGATATTTTTAAATATTGATGACTTATATCTAGTGAACTTAAATGACCTTCCCCTTAACATGGTCAAAGGTCATTGACCTTGGAAATCTAATCATACTTTTATATTTTATGTCTGACTTCTACTTCCGCTTTCACAACCTTCCAAAAAAGAGAAATTTTCAAAAATTTTGACTGCTTTAGCACGTGACCTAAATGGCTAAGAACGTTGATTTTTTCAGATTCTCTAGCAAATTGGCACATGAGCAAAGTCCCACTCAGTACCACGAGTGGTTCTAGTTTTTTATTCAATTGTTTGAACACATGTTGCCATTTTAGTCATTAGCTCATGGAGACATGAAGTGTAAGGTATCACCCAGTGTAAAATCAGACTTAACACATATTATTTCCAAAGTAGAAGAGGATTGTATTGAGGATTATTCAGAGACAGGTATGTAATATGAATGCGCGTCGTGTGAATAGTTAGTGGAGTTTATATAACCCTATTCACAATAAAATACATCGTGAGTCAATACATCACAGATATAAATGTAATATTTGACAAATATTATTCTTTCTTTTCAGTTCAGCAAAGTAATGATATAAGTTAATAGAATATGAACACAGCAATAGGAAAATGATTATTGATTAAAATTTTACTAGTTAGTGGCAATTACTAGTCTGCACCTGCTACCTAGACAGTATTGATTTATCATTACCATTATTACAGAGTATAAAAGAAAATCAAGTGATTCAAATGTTTACCAGGACTACACTACCTGACTATTTGTAACCAAGTAGAGCTCCTCCTGGAGCCCTCCTAGGCAACGGTTTAGCGTCATTTATGTTTACCTTGACAACATCAGTAATGGTTTAATGTATACAGTTATTTATTGATTCAAATATTTAGCTTGATACAGTTATTTATTGATTCAAATATTTGTAATTCAGTTTAATAAAAGCATTTATTTTATGTTAAATCTTCTGTATTAAAAATATGGGTGTTATTCTTAAACACAAAAAGCATAATTTTAATTACAGTGGGGATGGGTTTTTATCTGCGTTGACGTCTCTTATACCAAAAGTGGCGACTTTTGTAACAAAAAACAAGGACCTCATTTTATCAGGCGCCAAGGCCGTTTCTTCTTTAGGTCAGGCCGCACATACCATTTCAAAAACTGTCCAACAAAAAAATGAATTGGAAAAATTGCACAAAATTAGAGATCTCAGAATTAAAAGATTGGGAGCCAAACAAAATTTTAGGTTAAATTCAAAAATGGCAAATAAAGTTAAACTGGAATGATATTAAGATTAAAGATGGAACTGTCCACCAAAACAGAATCCCACAACAGAACGTTACGTTAGAAAACAATTTTTTCCCCTCCTTATTCAGCGAAATGGTTTAAGAAGCAGGTTCAAATATAACTGAAACCATTAAACACCCAGGTGAATTTGAAACCATGTTGAAAACCCTACTTTATCCAAAAGATTATAATTCATCATCGGGATGGATTGCAGATTTGGGAGATGGGGGAATTCAAAACAACCAAGAAGACATTGCGTGTCATGCCAACGAAAGAATAGTTTGAACTGCAGTTAGAAATTTAATCAATGTCTCAAAATTTGAAAATAATAAAGGTTATAGAAAAAGAGTTGTTTTATACAATCGAACTGTTGATGGTAACATGTGGGGAACTTATGTTAACTAGCCTCTATATCCACTATTCGTTTTACTTGGACATAGAAAGGTTTACATTGGTCTTCCTTTCAAATTCCATCTTCAAAGAACAATAAATAATGATAGAATATTTTTTGGAGAAGACAATTCAAATGCTCAATTGAAAATAACAAATATTCAATTATATGTTCCAGTAATAACCCCAACAATTGAAGTAGAAACAAGACTACTTAATAGTTTGACAAAAGATATTGATGTAGCATTTTTAAGAACAAACCCGATTGGATCGGTAACAATCCCAGGTGAGAATTACACATGGCAAGTGACAAACACTACAAAACCAGCAAGATATTTAATACTTGGTTTCAAAACTCTTCCGGATTCGCAAGAAAATAATAATAACCTTTTTAAATAACTGGTGACAACTTCCGAGATCCTAAAATAAAAAGAGTTCAAGTAAGAACGAATAATGAAAATTATCCAAACCAACCAGTAACAATTGATCCAGATACTAAAGATATTAAAAATTATATAGAAACTATAAAATTATGAGTTATTTGGAAATGTACCTCAGTTTCAATATGTCGATTTTGTTTTAAATCATCCAATATTTTGCTTTGATCTCTCCGCCTACAAAGAAGACTTGTCCAAAACAGCAGTGGGCTATTTACATAGTCAGAA